GCTGATAATGTGTTCCAATGCTACAGTGGGATGCTTCTTAAGGCTGTCATGAGCCTTTTGTGCTTCAACTTGAGTGATAATGTGGATGGACTGATCATCAAAAAGGTCTTGAAGAATTGTTTTTTCACATTCCAAGTTCACGACCAACTTTGTCAGCCGCTGAATTTCTTTATCTTTCCACTCCATGCAATTCTTCATGTCTATGTCCATATTGGATGGGCTCGATTGGTCAAATAGTTTGGCTTCAAGGGCAGCAATCACCCTTGCCCTCAACTCCCATGATTCTTCAAACTGTTTATATTTCGCTTCCCATTGTCGTACAAGACCCCAAGCTTTTTGGTTTTCTTTTATAAGTACATCCACAATGTCCGGCTCAGTTGGTTGTGCTATGATGATACCTCGCTCAGCATTGGGGGTGTTACAGCTGGGGTTGATATCATGTCCAACTTCATTCAGGTCCATTGCATCGACAGAAAATCCATCATTGTCGTCATTGCGTTGATTGTCTTTGCTTTCATCATCATTGCTTTCATCTTTCTTTGCTGGTGCACTTGACAAAATCTCAGGTTTGGGCTCCACATTCAATTTTGTATGATGGTACATGTTCGCTTCGGTTGGGGATGCCATTAGCTCGCCGCCATATACCTGCAGTTGGAGACATTATGTTAGTTAGATAGTTCCTTGTCTCACTATGTGAATAGGCACAATATTTTTGGTTGTACTTCTACCTCATTTAAACCAAGCTTAGCCAAAGATATGGACTTCATGTTGCTATGTAAGGCTGTAAGGTCCCACTTTACACATCACGGAATGGCATTGGGGTTGTGGGATTGTAAGATTGTTGTATGCTCACACAACCAGTACTGAAACAAATAACAAATGTCAGTAATGTGAATGTTCACATCAATTAACACTGATGTGAATGTTTACACCAGTTGCCAATAATGTGAATGTTCACATCAATTAACACTGATGTGAATGTTTACACCAGTGGCCAGTAATGTGAATGTTTATATCAGTTAACACTGATGTGAATGTTTATACCAGTAGCTAATAATGTGTGTTTATACATTACTGAACAGTAATGTGAATGTTCACATTATTGATGTCAACTTTCACACCATTGCCTAGTAATGTAAATGTTCACATCAGTTATGTGAATGTTCCAAATTTGTTTTGGTGCTACCATCACATCAATCTACACTGATATGAATGTTTACAACAGTGTCTACTAATGTGTGTTTGTACATTATTGAACAGTAATGTGAATGCTTATATCATTGATGTCAACTTCCACTCCATTGCCCAGTAATGTGAACATTCACATCAGTAATGTTCATATTAAATATAGAATAAGTTTTATGAGATTTACCATTAACAACATCACACATCCAGTGACTCGTCTTGGTTTTTCACAGTTTTGGCCCAATGAACCCATCAGGGTTGCCCGGATGCTCTCAGTCCAATCATACTCGATCATGTTGTCTAATGGGTCCATATATGAGTAGAAAGCCCATCCAATTGTTTCTCCGAACGTAGAGAAGAGTAGCTTGACGCATGCATACATGCAAACTAATCTTGCGACCTCTTCATTGTCTTGTTTCTTGGTGCCCTTTAATGCTTCGCTCAGAATTTCTCGTATTTTGGCAGCACTTAACCGACTAACATCCTTGCACATCCGGTGTATGATGCCTTGTTGGTTTTGCACCATAAGAGAGGTCTATCGATTTGGTACCGCAGTCCACCTCAAAAATCAGTGATACATCGCTTCTAAAAATCTGGATGTTCTTATCCCCAATGTAAAACCTCCCACTAGATGGCTTGAATGTCTGCACTATACGTACAATGACATCATCATATTTCATGCAGTGGTTGAGGTCGACTTCATTATTGATCAAGTAGTCAAATAATGGCCAAAACGGTGTTTGTCTAAGGCACTTCAATTGGCCACTTGTAAATTTGGTATCCTTTAACAGTTTGACCAATCCAGTTAAATTTGACCAGTAGTTAACTTTTTTCATGTTCACTTCTTCAGGAACAACTGTTTGATCAGGTTTGGCTTTGGCACGGGATTCCCATCTCTTTCGCTTGCCATCAAATCTATGGGGAAGACCTGGGTGTTCATATAAGAACATTTAATTGGCTGAAAAATAGAAGACGGAACCAAAAGCACCAAACAATATTTAACAATCAACAGTGACAGTAATCTCTACATTCACATCATTGTACACTAATGTGAATGTTCACATCAGTGTATACTAATGTTAGTTTACCCAGTATAGTACTGTGAATGTTCACATCATCTATGTTTGCAAAATCAATTCCGAAAACAACAAAAGTTATAGGGCAATGTAAATGTTTACATGGGTGATCACATTATGTTATAATTGGCTAAAAATCAAAGGCTGGAACCAACAGCACCAAACAACACCTAACAACATAAACAAGTATGACATTGATGTGACAATGTGAATATTTACATCATATTCTATCACATTGTTGAGTGAAGATTAGGGGTTCTATGGACATCGACAATCAACAATATCAATAGTGACAGTAATGTGAACATTCACATCGTTATACACTGATGTGAATGTTCACATCAGTGTCTACTAATGTAAGTTTACCCAGTGATCAGCACTAATGTGAATGTTCACATCATTTACGTTTACAAAATCAATTCCGAAAACAACAACAGTTACAGGGCAATGTAAATGTTTATATGGATGATCACATTATGTTATAATTTGCTAAAAATCAAAGGGTGGAACCAACAGCACCAAACAACACCCAACAATACAAACAAGTCTGACATTGATGTCACAATGTGAATATTTACATCATATTCCATCACATTGTTGAGTGAAGTTTGGGAGTTTTATGGACATCAACAATCAACAATATCAACAATGACAGTAATGTGAATGTTCACATCAATGTCTACTAATGTCAGTTTATCCAGTAATGAACACTAATGTGAATGTTCACATCATCTATGTTTACAAAATCAATTCCGAAAACAACAGTTATAGGGCAATGTAAATGTTTATATGAGTGATCACATTATGTTATAATTTGCTAAAAATCAAAGGGTGGAACCAACAGCACCAAACAACGCCCAACAACACAAACAAGTCTGACATTGATGTCACAATGTGAATATTTACGTCATATTCCATCACATTGTTAAGTGAAGTTTGGGGGTTCTGTGGACATCAACAATCAACAATATCAATAGTGACAGTAATGTGAACATTCACATCATTATACACTGATGTGAATGTTCACATCAGTGTCTACTAATGTAAGTTTACCCAGTAATCAACACTAATGGGAATGTTCACATCATCTGTGTTTATAAAATCAATTCCGAAAACATCTATGTTTACAAATTCAAATCCAAAAACCAGAAGGTGGATGTATACATCGGTGATCACATTATGATTGAAAAGCAGAAGGGGGAATGGTATTGCTTACTTTTGTTCCTCATGGTAGGTGGGTATGGTCACTCTCAGTGGATGAAATAAACTCAATCCAACGACGAAGAAGCACCCTCCTTCCGATGTGAACCTTCGCAGCGATGAGATGAAGAGGAATCAGGGGTCGACGGTGGACGGTGGACGACGACGACGTTGGTGAGGCGATGTGAATCTAGGGTTACTAGAGGCGATGTGAATCTGGTTTCGTGGATTTAGTTTTTGTTTTGGAAATTTTGTGGATTGAATAGTTGGAATGAGAATGGGTTTTTGCAGAATCGGTTACACGCGAGAGAGGCGGAGGAGGGGTATTTCGTCCTTTTACAATTAATGAACCTAATGGAATATTCAGAAATAGTTTGGGTTTTATGGAATAAAATAGTTACAAATAGGATTTATCAAAAAAGAGCCCATTAAAATATTTGTTATTCTTTTTTTTTTTATAATTAAATTGATGACCTATCAACCAAACAATTCTTATGTTTTACAAAAGATAAAACTGGAAGAAATGTAAAAAAAAAAATAAAAATTTGCCGTTGACCGGTTGACTGGCAGGTTGACCGGTCGGACTTCCAGGCGGACATCCGGTTATACCCAAATCGGGTGTTGTAGCGATGAACAGTTCCTCACTTCATCAGATGAGTTACTGTAGCAAATTTAACAAAAAATTGTTGAAACTGATGGAGGGAGAATTTGATGATTTATTAGCTATATTTTAACTTTTTGTTATTTTGAAAATATTGATACTGATGCTCTGAGGAGATAATAGGACAAGCGTCACACTCTGAATGGTGTGGAACAAATACCAACAAATAACTTTTTGTAAAACTTTCCAAACTTACCTAAACATTATATACTGGATTATTCTAATCTAGGGATAAATCTTTAGGCATTTAACAAAAATCTAGGGCATATAGTGTTGTTTGGTAAAATTTATAGTTTAAGGAAATATTAATAAATACGAAACAAAAAACATATTTTGAACACACTTGATTTTAAAAACTTCTTTCGAAAACAAGTGAGGGGTTGCCGGAGGAAAACAAGTGAGGGGTTGCCGGAGGAAAGTGGTGACCAGAGGTAGGAGGGGAGACTTGCTGGGTGGGGGTGGTGGCCGAAGGTGGTGATGGATGGTGACTGATGGTCAGAGGGGAAGGTAGAGGAAGAAAGCAGTGAGAATTTGTTTATAAACTAAGTAAAGCACCTCCCTTCTTCTTTTATTTTTTATTTTTTATTTTTAAATAGAATTTAGTAAGCTATGAAAAACAATTATCAAATGTGTTTCTGCTCACAGTTTAAAATTTTTTCAGAAATATAAACAGACATAAATCTTATCTAAAATGGCAAGCCACATGCTTTGAAAGATTAGACCATATGTAACTGTATTATCAGTATAATCAGCTCCACACCTCAATAAATAATGCAATCTTATATAAAAGACCAACTCACACCTAACCACCACCCAACACCTCCCCCATGCCAGCTAAAGATTTAAAGAGAGAGAGAGAGAGAGAGAGAGAGAGAGAATATTATATAGGAAAAATCCTTTCAATATATTTATCATATCTATACAGTTGAATCTTGACTGAAAAAGGTGTGCACACATTGATTTCATCGAAACAGACAAAACTGAAAACTAATTTTTTCAACAGACCATCAAAATTACAATTGTTGTTTCCATGTGCCAGGGAAAAGGACTCGCCAATGGACCAACTACCATGGACCAAAGACAAATCTCCAATGTGACCCCCAATTTTAGGTTCTAAGATACGTGTTAACAACTGATCATCAATCATACCATTCCCTTGAATGTCTGTCAAGTGTGTAGACTCACCTGATCAAGACAACAAGTAGTTGAACTAGAAAACCAACTGTAATTAAGCTCCAGCCTTGCTTCATGCTTCAAGTAATGTTTCAATATCCGTATGTTAGTGATCCCGATCCTTTCCTGTTCCCCTGTCCCAATGCTTCTCTCCACCATACGATTATGCCAGAGAAGCCCATGGCGTCATAGAGAGGTTTGTTAATGATGTTGCAAATAATGTATCCATATATGAAAGTTGTGACCCAATCAATCAACAATCCTGTTTTGCTGATGTTTGGAAATGAAAGATGTGCTACAATTCACTGAATCCAATTGCCAACTCTACAATTCTTGTTTGTTTGCAGAAATATTCGAACCATTCTTCCTCAAAGGGACCACCACATCAATAAAACTTTGCTTAGTGTCCATGTCAACAAATCCATAACCAAAATTGAATGGCAGAAATTTTCAACTTTTTGCTTCAAGCCACTACTTCCCCACAAAAGATTGATGTCTTCATCACTATCATCATTATTTTTGTGACCAGTGAGAATGAAAAAGTTAGATTAGCACAACTACCAATAATTTCAGCTTCGAATCAATTGCCTCATATGACTCTGATCAACACCATGTATAGTTTCTGCAAAAAAAATCCAGCATCTTACTTTTCAATTTCTTCAAGCTTCCCAAGAACTTGCTTTATGTGAGGCCTAAGAGAAGGAGAAGGAGAACAACAAGCCATTGCAAGTTGAAAGAATTTGAGGATGCACTCTTCAGTTACTGGGATTCGATTACCGCTTTGCCTAAGAAGAATGTCTGGATGGTATAGATCAGAAATTCGATGCTCAAAGATTGCATTTCTCATGGAGTTAGTCAAATAAAATTCCTCATCAGGGGCTGGGTTCTCATTTATTGGTTCCTTACCCGTAAGCAGTTCTAATAAGATCACACCAAGGCTGTAAATGTCAGTCTCTTCACTTACATCCTTCATTTTAATCAACTCGGGGGCTTTATATCCCTCAGCTGCAGATACTTCGAGCATTTCTTGGCTTGCCATGGGATTCAAGAGGAGATGTAGGCCGAAATCTGACACATACGATTGGTAATTGCGATCCAATAATATGTTTTTTGACTTGAGATTTCCATGGATTATAGGCATTTGCAATCCGGAGTGAAGATGATCTAACCCTCTGGCAATACCAATTGAGATCCTATATACGGTGTCCCATTTGTGAGAATCACCATTTCCATCTGCCCATTGAAAACATAGTTGTTCGACTCAATATGTGTTGCAACACTCCAAATGGGGTGATCAATAATTTCTTAAGAAAAAGTGAAGAGTGAAACAGAATGATAAACTGATGTAATTGCAACAAACATTGTGCAGAAAGAGAGAGATTTGAATATGTTATCCCTACACAAAGGGTCGAATTATGTGGACAAAGACAAAGTTCATTTTAAAAATCCAGCTAAAGTACTAACAGGGAAGTTCTTCCCCAATTTCCCACTAGCCCATTGCCTAACTCCAGCAAAATTAATTAAAGAGAAATTAAGAACGTAAAATAAATTACACAATTAAGGAGAAGAAAAATCCAACTTTGCACCAAGAAACACAATTTATTTCAGGATTGATGCAAAATAACAGATCCAAAAATTAAATATGTAAGAACTTAACAGTAACTTAAAGTTCATTTCAGATCACCCAACAAACAAGAAACTGATGCAAAGGAGAGAAAGAGGAGGGGGAAAAAAAGACAAATAAGAAAGAAAAATTGGTCAAGTAATACCAAGATATGAATCTTGAAAGGGAAAGATGAAGAAGACATAAAAACAAAAACAAAAAACAAAAAACAAAAAGGAAGGAAAGACCAACCAAAAATCAAAGAACATGACCATGCCCAATTTGGTAAAGGTAATTGATAGAGGATCTGCAAGGTGCACTAAATTCCAAAAAACTAGATAGCACAAAAATAAATCAGCCAAAATATCTATGCAAAAAAAAAAAAAATTGATAATCCAGGTAATGAAAATTGATGTTTTCCGTTCTTGGATACTTTGGGAGTCTTCTTATGATTGTAATTCAGCTGATCACTAATTTTTGAAATAAAATCTTTGATCAAAAAAGAAAAAAAGCCATTTCATTCTTTCTACACCAAGATATGGGCATCAGTTAATATCACGCACTACTATGACGACAAAATAAAAAAAAAAAAATCATCCAAGAATCAACCAAGAAAACAAAAGCCATTAAAATTGAAAACAAAGGTGTAAAACACATTACCTCTCATGAATTGCGTGAGATTTCCACGGCCATAAAAGGGATGCACTAGAAGCTTCTCACCCCTGGACCCTGCATAAAATGCTCGAAGAGGTACCAAATTGGGATGCCTAATTGACCCCAACAACTGAATTACAGGCACAACTTCCTTCATCTTCACAGTACACGTAGGCCTCAGAAACCGAAGCAACAGAACCGAGTCAGTCCTCATCAAACTCGCCATGTACAGAGTTCCATAGCTAGATTTCCCAATTACTTCACCAGGAGCATCCAATATGTCATGCACAGTGAGATCTTCACCGCATTGGAACTGGATCAAGTCCTCTGTTCCCAACTCACCTCTCTCTTTGAACTCAAACCCAGATTCTGCATCTATTGATTCGTCTCTTGATGACCTTCTACGGCATAAATAGATCATGAGGATGATAATTATCGAGATGGAGAATGAGGTTAGTGCTAGTATTAGTATGAGCTTGTGTTTGTGTTCCATTTTTTCATGAGAATTGTTGTTTTGGTATGGATTCTGATGAAGAAAAATTGTGGGTTTTGTTTTACTGGATTTGCAGGAGAGAGAGACAATATCTGGGTACTAAAGTCAGAATGTGAATAGAATTGAAGGTGGAATGTGATCACAGGACTTCGTTTTCGTGGCAAAGAAAAAAAAGAAGAGAAAATCAAAGTAGTAGAATTGAATGCTCCGAGTTTTAGATTTCTGGGTATGACTGTTTGGGAATGAGCTGTGTGAGAGAGAGAGAATCAAGGTAGTAGAATTGAATGCTCTGAGTTTAGATTTCTGGGTATGACTCTTTGGGAATGAGCTGTGTGAGAGTGAGAGAGAGAGAGAGAAAATGGTGAGGGAAAATTTGCAGACGGTGCCATGTGATGTTCTCTGATTTGATTGCTATCAAATGTGCTGGAGTAGTTAAAATTCCCTTTATGCCCTCAAATATTTTATCACATTGACAGTTTTACACTGAAATGTGCTTGACCCGAGAGAAATCTGGGTGGGTCATGGACTCATTCGGGTTTTAGTTGTAAACTAATAAAACATTTCATATATAACTTTTATGAATAATAATACATAGAGGGATTTGGTGATAGCTCTCTCACTATCTAATTTATCTTTTAAAATGACAAAAATTATATAAGTACTTTCAAAATCCTCTAATATTTTAAAACTTGTTTCTTTTACTATATTATCCTCATATCTATCAGCTCTTCTATTAAGTCATCTTCACTGTGTATTTCAGAGTAAAATTTTACTCTGTATAACAATAAAATTTTACACTCTGAAACTAAAAGTAAAATTTTACTCTGTATAAAAGTAAAAGGATTAGGGGGGTCACGTGCCCGCTGGATTTTTGATTTTTTTTTCTTTTTTTCTATTTTTACATATGTATATAAATAAAATTTTAAACAAAAATAATATTTAGAATAAAATGTCAAGAGTATTTTTAAATTTATGAAAATAATAGTGATTGTTTTATTGAAAATGAAGCGACCACAACAAATTATATTTTTATGAATGAAAATTTTATGAGAAAATCTCAATATAGAGGTAATATCCATCATTATTGATATATAAATATAATTAATCTCACTATATATATGTAAAAATTGCTAAGAGTTTTAGTTATATTTGCATGTAGAGTTTACCCTTCATATGTTGTTTTACTATTGGTTGGTGATATCATATGTTAATAATGATGTGATATCACTATTATATGAAATTTTTATTCAAATTTTGTAAAAATTTGATTTATCTTACCATTACATAATTTATTTTAAGACTTAAATATATGATTCTTTTTATATTATCCATGATACACTAGTTACACGCAATACTTTCTTTTTGATTTTACTCGAAATTAATTGTAAAATTTTATGTGAAATACTTTTGTAATAATTTATTTAAGTTTTTGTACTTAATATTAATTCAAAAATTATTATTATTTTCTTATTGTTGGTTATGGAAAAAAAATTATAGTTATAATTAATAAGTGCTCCTTCTGATTTAATTTTCTAATTCTGTCACTACGGAGGTGGAGTTTGAGCAAGGGCGGGAAATGGCAAACCTGCCCTATTGAAATCCCTAAAAAAGACAAAAGGAAAGAAAACAAGGGAAAATATTTTTTGAAGTTTGATATAATAGAAAATGAGAATTGACACAAAATATTTTTTGAGTATTGCTGTTTGTGTTAAAAAATTAGACTTACTTTCTAAATTCAGTGATGTATTAGAAAGATAATTGGTAACTAATTATCTTCTTAATGCATTACTAAATTTAAAAATTAAACTTATATATTATTTTTTATATTTTTAATGGCCAATGAAAAATAAAGACAAAATATATTTTCTATTTTTAAAAGATCAAAAATACTTTTCGATCTAAAATTTTATCAATGGCACCCCATTCCTTCTCCGAATTCTTCATCCAAAGCCCCGAAATCGTGGATCAAGTCGTCAATCTGAAGCCTACTGAAAGTAAACATATGTAAGTTCTCTCTCTCTCTCTGAATGTTCATTTTTTTATTTTTTTTTTTTTTGATTTGTTGAGAAAATGTTTTATAGTTGCTCGATGAGAAAATATTTTATAGTTCTTGGTTCTGATGCTTCTGTCCAGCATTGGAATAGCTGCTGATTGTTGCCATCACATGGGTGTGTTTGAATTGTTAGTTAGTAGGACGTGGGTTCCGACAGTGCATCAAATCTCTTGCATGTGTAAGCCTTTGTTTATTATAATGGGGTAAGGCCTCGTTTGGGAACAGGCTAATTTAGTAATTTTTTGATTATTTGGTTAAAAAGGTAGGTAAAAAAAATTTGTATGTTTGGGATGAATTTTTGACTAATTACGAAAAGATGTGCAAAAAGTAGAGAGAAAAGAGAATCTTTGACTTTTTGATATGGGTTGTTGGCTTTTTGACTAATTTAGTAACTTTTTGACTAATTAGTTAAAATAGTCTCTTGCCAAACGAGGCCTAAGTGTTTATTTATTAAATTTAGTCTTAGTGGAAGGCCTATTTGGACCATTTTTTTTAGTAGGCTTGTGGTTGTGCATGTTTCATGGCCCATACTAGTTGGGTTGCTAGCTTTTCAAGGGTGGTTTTAAAATTATATGCTGGGTTGCTAGCTTTTCAAGGGTGGTTTTAAAATTATATGCTGGATTAATGTATCAAGGCTACGGTTTTCCTGAAACTAGATAGATTTGGATTGTTATCATGTTTGTAAAATACAGATTTGATTGTTATTTAAAAAAAAAACATTATGTCGACTGGTTTAATTATGTTAAAAATTTTTTAAAATATAAACTGTCAAATCGATTTGTATCTATCAGTCAATCTGTTCAATTCGCATTGCGGATTGATTTTCTTTAATCCGTCTAGTTTCAGATGGATGATGGATTGGAGGTTCTAAGGACGCAACTGAACCGCGAACACCTCTAATTACCATTACCACTATTACATCCACCACTACCCTACCATCACCATGACTACCATCTCTATCTCCATCACCGCCACCACCATTCCACGCTTCCATTCTACCTTTGTTCCCACCACCATCACTAAACATAAAAAAATCTTTTTCTATTAGAAAATATTTTTCATCTTAAGAAACGGAACATTAATTTTTTTTTTTTTTTTTTTTTTACTTCATCTGGTTGAGTTGGAGACTGTTGTACAGTAAAGTTTAAATTGATAAATAAAATGATAAAATTGAAATTTGAATAACTTAAATTATATATAACCCAATACTCAAATTTTCTTCCTGAAGATAGACGGTGTGATATGGTACAATTGGGTGCAGAGAAAATTTAGAATTGCGAAAAACAGACCATGAATTATTAATTTTCTCCTTTAGAAATTATCACAATCATTTTTTATCCAAAACTTTATTCACGGTTGCTGATTGTTTGTAGGGCCAATTTTACTAACAGTTTTTATAGTTTGGGATTTGTATCATTTTAGTGTTTAATTTTTCAATTGGGACATATTTGATCATGAATTTTAAATCTGATGTTAAATAAAAACAATTAAAGATACCATTGCTTAATTTCAATAGCAAAATCATTAATTTAATAAAATATAAACTAATTTGACAAAAATAAAAGTAAAAAAAATATTTTTGAATTTTAAAAAATTATTTCTACCCATCAAAGATAAAATTATGTACAATGGATAAATTTTTTAGACATTTATTTGTTTATTTTACTAAATTAATTTTTATTTTGCGTTTAGATGATGATAATGTAATGAGTGGTTGTTAGGATTTTAATGGGCAATCGGTATATATGAAATGTTTTTAGTTTTGAATTTTTTGATTTAATGGATTTGTTTAATAATGATATCAAATTTGTCGCTATATTTGACTTTCGAAAAAATAGAAACTAATTTAACGAAAATAGAAACAACTACTTATTACATGATCATCATCCAAACACATAATAAAAATTAATTTAGTTAAAAATAAATAAATAAATGTCTAAAAGATTTATCAATTTTATATAATTTTATCTTTAGTAGGTAGAAATAATTTTTAAAAATTCAAAAATATTTATTGACATTTATTTTTCAAATTAGTTTATATTTTATCAAATTGACGATTTTGCTTTTAAAATTAAGTAATGATATCTTCGATTGTCCTTATTTAAAAAATTTCTGCGTATAGAACTGTGCAGAAGCAGTCAACAGAACATCACAAGATTAAAAAACATCTATAGAAAAAGCAGTTGCAGTTACATATTGAAAAAGTTACATCGGCCACAAAAAGGAGTTTTACATTGTCTAGAAACTAAAAAAGTACAAAGTACAAAGTACAGAAAAAATAAGAAACAAAGTACAAAAGACATTATCAAGACTCCTCAGTACTAGCCGCTGCAGGGATTGGGACCTCAGACGATTCTGGAAGAACCTCCTCGGCCACTTTTTTCGCTTGTATCTCGGCATCAATCTCTGCTAATGTTTTCTCAACACTTCTTTCTACCAAGAACCTTTTCTGCTTCAATCTTAGCATCAATCTCAGCCAACGTATTGTCTAGATTTCTTTCAGCCAAAAGAAGGTCGGATGATAGTTGCCCAATGGCAATTTCCTTGGGTGCCCCCCCAACTCATCACCCTCCTCCTCCAAGGTTAAATCCATCACTTGCTCAGCAGGAGGAGGGGACTTAGCTTCAGCAGCATCCTTGGGTTTTCTCACCAAGGCCTCATCATCATTTTTTCCTTCATCCTCATCTTCGGCATCAGCCTCAGTCTCTGATTCAACCTGACTTGGAGGAGGAAATGGTAAAGGAATGGCATCGGCCTTACGAAAGGGCGAGTCAACAGGGAGATCAAGTTTTTTTATCAGGGACATCCAACCAAGGGAAAATCCCTTGTTGCATGCCTGCCTGACTTGAAGTTTATAATCCTCTGCGACGTTGGCCATACCCTGGGCATAGGCCTTTTCATCGGCCTCTTTGACTTCGGCCTCTTTGGTGGCCAGAGCTTGCTGGAGCTCTCTCTCCGCTTAGGCCTTCTTAGCCTCGGCCTCTCTTTTCTCAGCCTCAGCAACTTTTTTAACGGCCTCAGCAGCTTCGGCCTTCTCAAGAGCTAAAGTTTGAACTTTAGTTGCAGCCTCGGCTTGATCCTCCAGTTTTTTCATTTTTGCTTCAAGGGACTTGATCTCTCTCTTCATAGAAGACGCTTCCCTTTTCATATCAACCAACCTTTGACGATTTTCAAAGGATTGCATGGAAAATGAGTGGGCATGCTGAATGGCCTGCAAAAAGAACAGAAATGTGAGACAGTACTCTCAGTGAAGAACAGAAGAAAAAATCGCAAAGTACAAACAGAAATACTTACTTGAGCGGAGTGTTGGAGCATAAGAGCATAATTCTCATACTCACTCAGCTCAACATTTCAT